ACCAAAGCGTTATTATATTTATTTTGGGTTTCGCGTTGTAGGAAATCGCGAGCCACGCAATGTAGAAATAAATAATTCACGTTTGCTGAATAGACCGTGCGGACAAAAAAGGAAAGAAAAATATGAAACTGTCGCTTTGTTCCGCAAATATTGACGGTGATTTGAATATAAAAGCCAACTAACCTACGCTTGAATTAACAGTTTGTGCAAAAAGCTTAATTTTTCTGCAAACACCAATTAAAATTTGCGCAGTTGTTGTTTGCCTGCCGAGAGGGAGAGCGGAAAATCGATAATTTCTCCACTAATATGACACAAAACATCTCTCTCTCTCGCTTTGAGTTTGACGCGCGTTTGTCAGTTTGAGAGGCAAAAGAATTCCTCCGGTGTTTGTCTGGTACCGCAGAGCTGAAAGCGTTTCACTCTGCCAACAACACGTACGCCGCCGAGCCATTAACACTTTGCCAATATTGAAAATGAACACGGTGCGCCGGCAGTTTGATGGCATCGTTGGGATGGCTAGTTAAAATAAACAGCGCCGAAATGCACATATACACATTGCGCGCAAACACCGCGGCGCTCTCTCACTTATTTATAATTATTTTGGAGGTAATTGTTTCCCGGCACTTTCGAAAATTTACAACAGCAACAACATGTGCACTTTATCAACACGACCGCGTCACAATTGATTTTGCATAGAGTACATCAAAATGTTATACTGGACACTGTATTTCGTGATATAAAATTGAAACTAATAATTAAAATCAATTTTGTAATAATATATTTTCTGCCGATAAGTTTTTTTATTTTTTTTTTTTATTTAGGGTCAGGCCAAGACAAAGTCTTGTCGGCCTGTACCCTTTATTAGTGGTGCAGAAGGCACCACCCAAAATTTTTTTTATTTATCGTTTTTGGGTTCAACTTTATTTAAAAAATCATCATTTTTTGCTGGCATATTAAAATGTTTTATTGGGAATAGCAATTCAGAATAACTAGGAAAATTGTTTACTGAAACTAAATTAATAAGCAAAGTGTTGAAAGCATTAGGGGTTCAATCAATTTCTTACAGGATAAAAAACAAAATTGATGAAATGATTAAATTTTGATATTTCGGCTAAACTTCTTTGATTTAGATCAAACTGATGGGAACTGATTTTTTTATAAGAAATTAATTTTCTGTGCGTTATATAATAATGCTGAGATTTGAAATATATACACAATTAGAAGCATATTATTATGTAACAAAGAAACAAAAGAATTCCTCATGAATTAAACGGCCAATTAATTATTTGAAAATTTTCTCAAGAGCCCCTTTATAACTGTAAACATAAATTATTAATTTTTGAGTGGAATTTGAAAATTATCTTTTAGATAATTTTTTAATAGTCATTTAAAAGGGGAAAATTCAAAAATATTTCATTAATCTTGTAAAGTTTTCTCAAAAGCTGTTGAAAAAATATTTTTTTCATACAAACCGCAAGCAACAGTGCCAATAGTGTAGATTTTATCATCCAATACATCGCATTGAGCACTTAAAATTATTATTTTGTGTGTAAATTTTTTTCATTTTCTCATTATTCTTATTCCATGCTCTGGGCCAAATTATTACTGCACATGAGAGAGTTTCAGCTGAAACAACCGCAAACGACGGCCTGTCTGGTCGACTGTGAGCAAAGTAATAATAATCACGCTAGCTGCGAGTTCAACTCGAATAACACGATGATAATAACAGCAATGTGCACAGCCGTCAGGTGCGAAATAGGGTTGTTGCATGTAATAAAGGATGTGTGTGTGTCTTGTTGCCCGGTGTGTAATTCCACCTCAGTGAGAGCAATGAGGCGCTGCTGCTCATAAGCAAAACTGGAATATGACTCACTTTATAATACGCCCTCTCATCACACCTACGGAGGGCGCGGGTGGATGGATCTTGATTACGCCAGCCCGACGCACTCCGCCGCGACAGAAATAAATTTCCAGCTCGTCTCTCGAGTGCGACTAGCAAGTGCCCTTTATTGCTTCGAATGCACACTTTCGCGTCACCTAATGAATGCTGATTAATTTCCCGCACTGGGCATCGGTCCAGAATTTTAATTAGTGGATTTATGAGGCATCTTCTCGCGTAATTAACGATTTAAAAATTTATTTTAGCTATTGCAAGCCTCAAAGCTGGACAATGATTTAAAAAATACAAATCTCTAGCATTTTTTTTAAAGGAAAAACTGGTAAAAGTCATCACTGTGGCAGGCAGATTTGGAAGAAATTGCATGCATGCGTCTGGAATTTCGGCTATGCAGTCTGGTGATTTCTTCCATTTCCACCAGACATTCCAGGCAAATGCCGGCATAGTTCACATTCATAGGCCCCAGCCTTCCTCATCCTTGAAATTCTTAAACACCGCTGTGGGGCCAAGGTCACCATGCTATTGGTCCTTGAAATTTAGCAAACGCTAGAGCAAGTCCCAAGAAAAAATTAAATAAGAAAAACAATTTTTTTTAAATTATCCTATTTATGAAACTAATCAAATTTCTGATTTTTTTTTTTTATTTAATTAAAAGAAAAATGATATTAACATGTTGCGGTGAATTTTGCACAAAAATAACAAAAGCTGAAGTTGCGAAGAAATGTTAATGGAATCTTGAGATTTTATTGACTAACTTCTAAATATTTGAGAACCTTGAATATTTTGCTCCATGGTGACTGTTTTTGCCATTTTCACAAGTAACAAATTTATTTTAAGGAGCCAGCAGAAAAACCCACCATAAAAATAAATGTTATTATGCCCTAGACAGAAAGCCGATCTTTTTACATTCGGGAGAGAGAAAATTATGTTTCACTTGTACAAAGTTTGTGTGTGTCCATAAATATGCTTGACCAAACGACATGTCTTTTTTCGTCGCTCACTCTCCGTGAAAAAACGGCAGAATTTTCGAGTTAAACCGATCGAGACGCAGAGAACGTTTAGCAAAACCCACGCGCGGATCGGGCACAATTTGCAGATACAGAGCAGCAACATAAAATCAAACAAGCGCCATAAAATCCAAGTGCGGGCAAAAAAGTAGACACTCGGCTGCTGCGGGATCAAGTGCTTGGGCGCTGAAAGTGCGAAAAAGTGAGAGAGAGGCCAAATCCGCATTAGCGCCAAAGTTCATGTTCGGAGGTTCGGAGCGATGTTGGATTTGGTATTGGAGTATAATTTTAATATTTTAACTGGAAAAGTGAGCGTGTGCAAGAGAAGGGGGAAGAAAAAATAAAAAGTTTTGCGGCTTGTTCAACACGGCAGGGCATGAATATTGCATGATTCGAAGTAGAAGAACTTTGAGTGTGCGCGATGTTATTCCTGCAATTTCCTTTGATGAAAAAGGAACAAGTCTCTCATTTGCATCGCTGCTGCCGTTTCATTTTTCGCACGCGCGCCCCTAATAAATTGAGACGTGACATTTCCCGATTTTCGCTCTGCAGCACCATCAGCCCATCCATCCGTCCAACAAAATATAAAAAGCGATCAAGAGCTTTTCTCTTTCGAGAGCTCTCATTGTTTTGCAGCCCCGGCGAGAGAGAACAAAAAAATAAATCCACTCGCTGCGTGCACTTCTTCTTCTCAGCAACAATGGTGCATCTCAAAGGGCGGTGCACCGATTACAGAGGAAAAATCAACCCTTGTCGCACGTTCTGCGCCCCCTAGCGCGACTCACGACGGAAATAATGGGCGAAATCTGTTGCGACACTCTTGCAGGTCAATGAGACAGCGGTTTGCAATCGAGTGCTCTTCAAAAGTTTAAAAAAATTTACCCCCAAGGAAGTGATTTTTTTTTTAAAATCCCACGCTACTACAAAATTCATTGAAGTGAATTATTTTTTTAAAAATATTTATTAGACAAACTATAGGATAAAAAAATTGTGATTTCGAGTAATATCTTTGTGAAATATCAAATCTATGGCACCTCAATAAATTTCTGTAGCTTTTTTTAGATGATTTTCAAAAAAGTTGAAGAAAAACGAATAAAATTAATTTTTACTTATATAAAAACGTGGCTTGCTAAAAATTTCTAGGTGACCAATTTTTTACTCAAAAAATTTTCAGCTTGAGTGTCAACTATTTGAAATTTTTTGCCAACAAAGTAATTTTGAGCGTTTCATTTCTCAATTATTTTTTATTTTTTTCAATTGTTAAAAAATATGTACAATTGTAGGGTGCGGAAATTGAATTGTTGGACACAATGGCTAGGACAAATTTTAAAACAAGCACGTTTGGATCTGAACCTACAAATTTTTTTACACAATTTTTATTATATATATTATTTATATAATGTTCCTGAATATAATTAACTTTTAAAATATTAATAATTTGCAGGGAAAACAGATTGTCTATGTACATTAATTAAACGGGCGGTTTTTGTTTCTGCATAAACAAAATATTTTTATCGCCGTGCGTGTGCGAATGATTATTTTGTTTAAAGCTTATCCTTCTGGTTGTTTTCAGCTTTTCTATTCATTCATTGCGAAATGCGAATTCTTTAAACATAAAGTAAAGTCAAAGACAAGTTTCGAAAACGCACGAGTTGAATCCAGCTCAACTCATACGAATTCTTACAAATTCGTTCGTATTGATTTGCATGAACTTGATCGTAGACGCTCAATGCTCCCATTTGTTTAACTTGGGCGACTGCGACAAAATCTGAACTGAGACAAGCCTTTAAAGCTTCTGACGTGAGATATAATAAAATTCACATTATCATATAAACGGAAAAGATCCGCGGGCATGCAAATATTCAAATTAAACTAAATATAATTCACAATTACATAATTTGACCAGAACATTCTTACGTTACTGATGAATTCAAATTTTTTAACGCAGAATTATTCAATCATTTCAAGTTTTTCACGACTCATTTGGATTCCTTTGAATTTTCCAGAAATTTTAAACAAAATTTCAGGGAAAAAACAAAAACTGATCAGTTGTTGTTTTTGTGCCAAATTTTCGCCGCAAGAGGATAAAAACTGACCTTAGTTTGCTGTGAAGAAGACGGTCCAGAGTCGAGAGCGGAAGCTGGGCGCAGGTGTCACACGAAAAAGTGTCCAACGTGGGCGAGCGAGCGAACACAAACAAGCGAGGAGGAGAGCGACTGGTGCGATCTCGAGTGAGAGAACGTGCGGACGACCCCAGGCAGGGTGTGCGACCGGCAGCAGCACCAACTCGCCACTGACAGCCGCGATCGCAGACATGCTCTCTCGGTGACGCATGCGTACCCGAAATATACTCGGCGCGCCGCGCCCTCGCCGAGCATCTGCCAAAATTCTGCCACCCACCTTGACATCAATTTCGCAAATCGTCCAGACGCTTTTTTCAAGCTTTTTGCACTCATGTGTAATCGCACACTTCCGCTCGGGGTGCGAGCCAGGAATTTTGAATGTGTTTTGCCAAATCATTCTCCACAGTACGGATTTATTTATTTCAATAAATTCAACTATGTACACAAAAATACTTCATTTTATATCAATATGTGATACACTTTTTTTATAAATCATAATATGATTTTATATTATTTATTGAAAAATAAATCATAGCTGAAAATAATGAAAAAATACAATAGAACACACCAGTTAATTTAATTTGAGCTTTGATACGAAATATTTTAATGCTAAATTATATATATATGTTTTGCAGGGCTCATCGTGTTGCGAATTGAACAGGAAAACATAAATAAATAATATTATAATTTTACGCTATATTCATAATTTAATTTTTTTTATAATGTAATTATAGCTAATCTATATCATTTTACCGGATCTACTGTCTGCAAGTCCCTTTGTGTTATCAAACTTTTCAGAAAAGGTGTTAATAAATTAAATATGATTGAATGACATAACAAAATTGATGCTAAAAAATTAAGAAACTTAATTTTGACGCACGTTTACAAAAAAGCAGAATGACGAAATTCAAAAATTACTCTACAAATCACTAATTTAAATTAGAAACATCTTAAAATGACTTTATTTATCAGTCTAGCTTTCAACTATTTAATTTTTCTAACTTAAATCTGTTATGAAATTTCCTTTGCGTTATTAAACTAAAATATTAAAAGTGCAGAGAGCTTTGTCAGAAATTTCTTCTTTGCAAGGAAAATTTAACTCCTTTTCCTTTTATCCTTGAAGCCAATAAATCAGAAAACTTTATTTCCCACCGTAATATTTTTCTTGGCCCTCTCACACACTTTTTGCCACAAAAAGCTCCTCAAGTCTCTTAATCACCTGCCCGGGTTTATGCAAATTTCTTCGACTCCAAAGCGCCGCCAAGTTTGCACAAGGACTTTAGCGCAAGAGTAAATATCAACTCACCTGGTCTCTTTCGCATACTATACCGCTCATTCCGTGCACTTGACTGAATGCCGAGCCCTTGCAGTTTAATACCTTGCTGCGAGTATGAAGGTGTGTGAGCGCCGACGAGCAATTTTGGAAAGAGCCACTACGCGTGTGGTTCCAGATATTCATTCGCACGCTTTTTCTTTCCCGATAACAGATAACACCAACATTACTGCTTTTAATTATAGAAAAAAAATTTAATGCTGTATAAGACTTGGAAGATTTCAAATTTTTTACAATCCTCACGTGTAAAGCAAATTATTATTATTTAATTTTATCCAGATCAATTTCTCTTTTCAAAAATCATCAAAAAACAAAGGGGAATGAAAAATAAATTAATAAAATTTATCTAAAAAATCTCAGAGTGTGGAGTATAGAATTTCTGCTGAGCCGAATAATTTGGACGTTAATTTGAACAGGAATAATATACCGTGTTTGAAAAGAGGATTCTATAAAGTTAGCAGATGTTGAATTTGGAGAAAATGATATTATTGCATTCTTTCAAAAATGCAACCAAAATTTTTATACAAAAACTGAAATATTTTTTTCTTTAAACGTTAATCAATTAGGTCTACAAAATTACCTTCGTTCCAAATATTATAAAGATTCATTTTTGTAGCGATTACTTTTCTGTATCATATTCCGTAAAACTTTCTAATCTGAAAATGTGATGTAATTTTAGATTTTGTTCTATTTTTAAGTTTGTTATCATATCCATTACAAAAAATTGCTTTTTTTCTTAGCACAATTCACATGTATTAAAAATTTTTATTAATGTAGAATCCTGTTGCAGCATGCAGCTATTATTAGAGTCGCTCCAGTTGAATTTTAATTTTGCCAGTTTAGGATCTTAGAAGGTTTTTGCCTGATCTCTCCCCCCCCCCCCCCCCCCCCAGGCAACGATAGACAGCTAGTGCAGAAAAGGAGCATTATCTCTGGTGAAGCAGGCGGCGAAGGGTGTTTGCGAGCAGGAGTGACGGATTGCCGAAGATCCATTTCCAGCACAGCACACGAGCTCATTTTCATTTTGTCACTGCCGCGCACCTTGGCATACTCATCGGTGCGGGAAAGCGAGACCTTATTCCGAGTTAGCACGTTGGTAAATTATGCGCCGCCGCCGCCGTTCACTTAACTGACGAAATTATTCATCTGAGAATTCTATTAGAGCGGACCAATTTATCTCGGCACGTGCTAAACAACGCAACTTATTTCGCAACGTGTGCGTTTGTCTGCAGCATCTGTGCTGTCTTCCTTTTTGCCCTTCAACAGTCAAACGTGAGCGAGCAGTGGAGCCGATTTGCGCTCAACTGCGCGTGCAATGCTGGCGTCAAATTCGCGAATTATGCACACATTGTTGCCTCGGGACGCGGCGTTTCAGAAACAAAAGGCTAAAGTTTTGGGTCTGTGTATACGCTAGACAAACTTTCAAAACAAATTTAAACTTGATCGTAAACACTCTGGTTCAATTTTTGTGCATTTATTTTGACCTCCATAGTTGTAATGTAATCAGAACTGCTAAATAAATAAATGGGCTAGCGTACCGTGAAACAAAATTTTGAAAAGAATAAAACCTACTTCAATGTATTTTCTATAAAATATATATTATATTATGTACTTGAGATTGATTTTTAGGGAGGGGGGAAATTCGTTCATACTGTTTAAATTAAAAACTTTCTTTACACATTAGTTATAAAATTGTTTGTCTTTTAAACTTCTGTTCCAAAGTTAGAACGTACCTTTTTTATTTATTTTATGACTGGAAAGGCAATAAATTTATACACACATGGATCGTCGCAAATGAAAAAGTGTTGAAAATGGGATTTGCTTTGTCCTCCTAAAATGAATTTGAACCTGGGAGGAGTTTAAATCCAAGAAGTTTTAAACAAATTTATTGACATCGGCAATCAGAACCCAATTCTAATTTAACCAAAATTTCTTTGAGGTTCAAATTCATTTATTGGCAAAAGCAAGTAAATCCTGGATACAAAGGAATGCTTATTTTTTGAAGTGATTTTGAAGTCAATCAAGACAAAAGTAAATTTTTCGAATTAAAAAAATAAAAATAAAAAATAGATCAAAGTTGTCATTTAAGAAATTTATGTTAGTAATGCTGTGTTTTAGTAATCTACGTTAAATACTACTTGAAAAATAAAAAAATAAATTACCTCTCGTGGGTTTTAAAATTGAATAAAAAGAGGTATAAAAGTGAGATTCCAATAATTTCTTTAAAAATATTAATTTCAATAAATGTATTTGTATGTCTTTGAAACCTTGAAAAGCATTTGAGCATAATATTTGCTCATTTTGTAAACGGCCAAACTGACCGAATGACACAACATTTAGAATATAATCCTCTGTAATTCCCTTGATGCATTCTTGGCTCGTATCTTGCACTTTCCGCCCAGTTGACTTTTCCACTAATGGACATTGAGAGTAACAATCCTTGTATGGAAGTACTCGCATTACGAATCACGGCTTACAGGGCTGAGCTGATGACGCAGAAAAGCAGTAATTCGTCGTCCAGCCGGCGGGGCTGCATGCGAGAGGGTATGTTTTGCATAAATTTGCCTGCAAGGCTGGCGATTCGCACGAGAGCAATAACTAATAATAAAAGTAAATCCGGCCGAATGACGGGGGGACGGGAATGGAAAGGATTAGCAGCGCGAATGAGAGAGGCGGCGGAGAGACAAGCCAGCGGGTGATAATTCTAATTAAAGCGGCTGGCACGATTGGACTCGAATCTGCTCTCCCAGAATTTCCTGATTTAATCCGATGAGAATTTTAATACCTGACGACAAAGAGAGGCTGCGCCGAAAACTTTTCTCACCCCGGCGTTCTCCCTTGATGCATTCCGAATCATCAAGGCGCCAAGAATAGCTCCCAACCAAAACTTTTCTTTTCACATCAGGTTTTTTAAATTAATTTAAACTATATTATCATCACCTAGTTGTATACATATTTTGACTCGCTTATTTAAATAGATCTTTTGAAATCTTAAATTGCGTTGATATTTGTTTGATAAAAAATGTTCTTTAAACCTTTTTTAATCCGGCTTTTACGAAATCTCACTTTTAGAATTATTATTTCTTTTTATCATTTATTTTTTTGTATAAAAAGGGACATTTTTACTTTTTCCTTCAAAGACTTTCATCTCATCCAAAAGACGTTTTCTTATTGAAGGCAGCAGCGTGCCTCTGTGAAGTTTACAAGGCGCAAAATAAGCTCTTAAAACTTTCTCATATATTAAGTCATTTCTAGCTCGTCTGCTTTTCGCGCAGCCTGTTCGTAAAATTTATATAAAATTCGGGTGATGGGCGTGCGAAGAAGAAAGTTTTCTGAGAGCAGTCTGTGTTCAAGTGTATATCCTAATCAACAACTTCTGCCGCTTGTCGCTTTCTCGCGTGTCCTCGCCTCTCCAATTGGCGGCATTTCAAGAAAAACTTTTTCTTATAATTCAAATTTCGCCCTTTTTGCTGCTGCTTATTTATTTTCCTTCTCCGTCACCCAGCGGCCTTCTCTCTTCTAATTCAATAAAGAAAATTGCTTTGCAGTGCTGGAAATCAATATCCGCCAAGAGAGAGCGAAAGTCTTTTGGTGGTGTTTGCTTGCAAAAAAGGGAGGGAACATAATCCCCTGCTGTATATATTGGGAACAAGCTGTGCCGCCAGAATGTATCATGTCGCTTGTGTTTCACATTGATCACTTCCGTTTTGCCTTTTGTCTACACTCTGCGACAATTCGCCGAATTGCCCTCTGTTGCGCGCCACAACTGTTTATTTATATAACGACATTGCCGCCGCTCAAAAGTTGTCCTTCTACAGAAATCAGCGTCG